TGAAATTTCTTTAAAATGCTACTCCTATACAGTTTTGGTCTGATTTCAATATAACTTGGCACACAAGTAGACTACACTAAGATACATAATTCTGTGTATCGGTTTTTGATTTCGATGAACGTTGTTGCCGTGGTTACTAAAAATAGAAATTTCTGTGAAATTCTGTCAAAATGCTACTCCTCCGACAGTTTTGGTCTGATTTCAATATAACTTGGCACACAAGTAGACTACACTAAGATACATAATTTTGTGTATCGGTTTTTGATTTCAATAAACGGTGTTGCTGAGGTTAAATAGAATAAAATTTCCGTGAAATTCTTTCAAAATGCTACTCCTCCTACAGTTTTGGTCTGATTTCAGTATAACTTGGCACACAAGTAGACTACATTAAGATACATAATTCTGTTTATCGGTTTTTGATTTCTATGAACAGTGTTGCCGTGGTTACTAAAAATAGAAATTTCTGTGAAATTCTTTCAAAATGCTACTCCTCCTACAGTTTTGGACTGATTTCAGTATAACTTGGCACACAAGTAGACTACACTAAGATACATAATTTTGTGTATCGGTTTTTGATTTCAATAAACGGTGTTGCTGAGGTTACTAAGAATAGAAATTTCCGTGAAATTCTTTCAAAATGCTACATCTCCTACAGTTTTGGACTGATTTCAGTATAAGTTGGCACACAAGTAAACTACATTAAGATACATAATTCTATTTATCGGTTTTTGATTTCTATGAACAGTGTTGCCGTGGTTACTAAAAATAGAAATTTCTGTGAAATTCTTTCAAAATGCTACTCCTCCTACAGTTTTGGACTGATTTCAATATAACTTGGCACACAAGTAGACTTCACTAAGATACACAATTCTGTGTATCGGTTTTTGATTTCAATGAACAGTGTTGCCGTGGTTGCTAAAAATAGAAATTTCTGTGAAATTCTTTTAAAATGCTACGTCTCCTACAGTTTTGGACTGATTTCAATATAGGACTACACTAAGATAAACAATTCTGTATATCGGTTTTAGACTTCAATGAACCTCATTGCCTTTGGTTACTAAAAGTAGAAATTTCTGTTTAATACTTTCAAAATACCACTCAAATACGGATTTAGTCTGATTATAATATAATGTAGCACGCAAGTAGACTACACTAAGAACATAGAAAGACTTAATGAAGGATCATTATTCTATTTATTGCTGTTATAAAGTTTCAATTCCCAACTGCTTAAGTATTTTTCTCTTCCTTTGCTATATGTACAAACCAGTAGAGCTTCAGTCTCGACAGAGACTTCTGGTGTGTCAAGTTATATTGGAATCAGACAAAAACTGTAAGAAGAGTAGCATTTTGAAAAATTGTTTACAGACAGACGGACGCTGGACGCATGACTATTGCATAAGCTCTTATGGAATCAGACAAAAACTGTAAGGGGAGGAGCATTTTAAACACAACCACGTAGCATCTTTTTTGAAAGTGGGGGGGGGGGCAGCCAGAGAGAAAAATTTTGTTACTTACCTTAAAAAGTTGACAAGCAAAAATAAAATAAAAAGTCGAAAATCCTATGTCGGGAAGGGGGGGGGGTGTTAGGAGTTTTTTCAACTTCTTTCAGTACCAATTTTTGTAACATATATACTACATTTCCCTTATATTACAGGGAGTCCCCCAACCAGCCTTTCAATGAACATTTCCTACAGTATAAGTAGCCCCTGGCCCCTGTTGCTACGTGTCTGGAACAAAATGTGTTTGTGAAACACTATGCACCGGTGGCAGCAAAGTTCGAAAAACGCTATTTTTAGTATATAGGTCACACTCAATGTCACAAGGTCATTGACCTTGGTATCATTTGAAAGAACTTGATTAGTGGAATATGCATACCAAATATGAAGTCTTTATCTCCTCTTGTTCAAAAGTTATTGTGAAATTTCAAAAAAGCTATTTTTAGCATATAGGTCACACAGTCAAGGTCACAAGGTCATTGACCTTGGTGTCATTTGAAAAGGCTTAATGAGTGAAGTACGTCATGGTTCAATAGTTATGGCGAATGTTAAAGTTTGAGGACAAAAAAGCTACTTTTAGCATATAGGTCAAGGTCACAAGTCATTGACGTTGGTGTCATTTGAAAGAGCTTCATATGTGGACTATGAATATCAAATATGAAGTCTCTATCTTTCATGGTTCAAAAGTTATGGCGAAGGTTAAAGTTTGCAGACAGACAGACAGGACAAAACAATATACGCCCCGGATCTATCGATCTCGGCGCATAAAAATTGTTTACAGACAGATGGACGCCGGACGCATTACTATTGCATAAGCTCTTATGGTCTCTGACCAGTAGATCTAAAAAGGGTATACTTGTTGCGCATGAAAAGGTTCGCTATTTCTCGATTTAATTCTCCATAATTTTAAACCGCCATCTCAAAATGTTTAATACCAACTGCATGTTTCTACAACAAAAAACTCCGAAACCCTTGTTAATAGCCCTCCTGGGCCTGAAATGGTAATAACCGAAATCCATGTACCATGCCATTTTAGAAGGCAAGATAATTTGGCCCAACACGCCAAAGAAATTCATTAGAATTGTGTTTATTCACTCAAATAAGTCACTAATAAAAATTAAGAGATTTTAAATTTGATATTAATGATAATTCTGTGGATTTACTCAAGTACATTAGAATACAAATTGAATGATTTTATGATCTCATAATCATTGCAAAAACGCAATGTTAAAAATAAAAAAGAATTTTAATGCTATCATTATCGTCCTCAAAGCAAGTAACACTCAGATAGTTTTTAATAAGGTAATAAAATGCATTATTACCACACTCAATTTAATATCTGATCATGAGCATATAATATTTAACGAGGTAGAAAGATTTTGTGGTTATATGTATACCCTCAATACTGCTAAACTTTTTATTATTATTGAAGGTTTATTTTATGTTCATGAACTCTTCGATCGATGCACAGGTGTTATAGAATTTATTAATATATGAAGAAAAATTGCGCTTCATTCACCACTTAAACTCATGATTACAATTTTTTCCCCCAATAATTCAATCAGCTTCTTTGTTATTAAGGAGGAGGGGGGTGTCAATTCTAAATTGTTCAAGGAAAAACTTTGATAAATTCAAGCAATTAAGGGTTAAATATATAGAGTAAAGTTAAAAGGTTTTCAACTTGATAATGACATTGGTATTCGAAACATATTGAAGATCAACAGAATATACGTTTGTATTGTGCGTTAAATTTTCTTCGTTTTGGTAAAAGATAAATGCGAAAAGGAAAATGTAAATTTGTCATTACCTGTAAAGTCACGTATTAATTTATCATGGGGTCTAATTTTCGTGGTTTTAGGAAAAGCTCTTGGTTCGTGGGGATTTGGTTTAAATTTTTGTATATTAAGAATTGTTAAGTCGTTACGTATGTGACATTTTAGATTTCGTGGTGGACAAGAATTCCTTTGTCTCTTCATACCTCGAAAACCACGAAAACTAGTGATTTCACATTACTCACTCATATAAAGCAATAAACTTTACTTTGTGTGCATTTTATTTACAATGTAGTATATAATTCTTTTTGTAAATTAAGTTACTTGTACTTTGTTGGCAAAGAAATATATTTTATCTTTAGGCTGGCTGAAATTAATTCTACGTTAAACGTTAGTAATAAACTTCAAAACCTTCGAGGGAGGAAGGAAAAAATGAACAAACAAAATGTTCAAGCAGATGATTTACTCATTTAAATGAAGTAAAATACTTTCAGCATTCGTAATTATATAGATTATTTTTTGGTAATATTTCCAGGCCAGGAAAGTTGTCACTTTATATAATGGAATGTATGCCCAGAAAGTTCAAATATTGTCTTAGATGCCCAGAAAGTTCAAATATTGTCTATTTCCATGGAATATGCAGTCTTCTGGGTGTTAAAAGTAAAAGAAAACAGTAACAAAAACTATTTTAAATGTTGACTTTTTTCAAAGTACCAATATCTCCGATACCTACTCGCGGGGTGACGTTAAACGTACAATTAATTTTGGGCAGCCTTGTAAAGTAAGGGGACATCTACAGGATAACATGGTATTATACAAAATTAAATGGGAGCACAAAAAGAATCCTTAACTGCCTAAGACCATTTCTGCCAAATATAGGTCAAAATTACTGACCTCCACCGTTAAGTGGCAGTCTTCACATGAAAGACAGGGAATGCTTACTCCTTTATGGCAACTGATCCCACCTCTGATGTGTTTGGAGGTCCGTATCTGCGTTGCTCTTTATTTCTATTGTATAAATGAACCTTAAGCTTGAATTCTGTTCGTTATTTCCGTATTTTATTTTGAAAAATTAGGATTTCATCTTGTGTCCAAAAGTTGTGGTGACTTTTGCTACATACCATGCATAATAAGTCAAATGATCTTCATATCACAATTGTGAAGCCTAGATTGATTTCAAGGGGATTTTTTACGATCGATTTTTAGGTTGCCTACACAGTCTCCCAAGAGATCCCGGTCATTTCTTCGGTTAGCTTGATACTTTATTTTTTGGTTTAACAGATTAAAGACAAGATTCATTGATATACTGATACTATAATGAATATTTTCTCTCATATTTTTTTTGCAAACCATGAAAACAAACTATGTAAAGTTATCTTAGGATAATTTTTTTAATGGAAAAACAGTACCTACCTTATATTATACGCCAAATAAGACACTACACTCAAAATAGAATCCTTATTCAAGCAAGAGCGAGGCAAAAGAGCGAGTTACGAGCATTTATCAAAAGGACTGTGTGCTGCTACTTTAATGATATATGTAACAGTGACATCATAAACATGCGCAGCCTTTATAGTGTCAGATTTCCGGGACTACTTTTCTTACGCATTATGCCGAAAGAACTTGTCAGATATTTGGATATTAGTTTTTCAAGGAGGATAATGCTTTCTTGATGTTAGGCACTGAGTATGATAAGTATTGATTAAGAATAGATAATTATAACAAATTGCAATTTATTTGAAAGATATCAAAACTAATTTTTTATATAGTTTTTCTACATGCATTCAAGTTTTTGGACTATTTTGCCAGCGGAGTGTCTTTTATGGAGGAATGGCGACAAAGATCAGAGACGGGCATAAAGTACTTTGGCCTTACTCTACGATGCTGGAAATAAATTTCAGTTGAACTTAGTGTTATTTGAAAGCAAATACTCGAACAATTATGTTGGTGTCTTCTTGCTCTGCTGCTGTAAGCAATCTGTGGAACTCGATCGGTGTATGATAAATATAGCCTATGTAGAAAAGAAAGAAAAGGAAGTCTCTGAACAGAATACTTTCAGGCAAACCTCTGTAAGGTCATCAATGTTACCATTTGATCTGAAATGAAATCAAGGTTATAGGTTCATGTACACAAAATTGAAATCACTGTGTTATTTAAGATTTATCTTAACCGGAAAGTATTATTTTCAAAAAATTTAAACGAATGTTATCAATATCAGTAAGGTTATAAATACAATATTACAAGTTGGGTCCAGTGAAAAATGTAGCGCAATATTTGCTTAACATATAAATAGATGTATCCTGCTTTCGTTTCTTCATCAATACCTAGAAACATCGTAAATAGATGTTACCTGCTTTCGTTTATTCATCAATATCTAGAAACATCTTAAGTTATTAATAGTCATTATTTTGTCACGAGATCTCACAACTTACATTTTCAACGCCTTTCTTTTTAGTACGACTGGATTCCAGTATCCTTCTTCAAAGGTCAGTATCTTCCAGAACTTTCAATTTACGGTACTACATGTATGTTCAAAATAAAACAAACGCTGGAATTTCTATCAATACTTTTACACATGACATTGTATAAAGTATCTATGTATAGTATTAAATGCAACAAAGGAATACCCCCACCCGTAACGATTTTAACGTTTACATACATGCTGCATTGTTATATTCGTAATTTACTGATGATTTTTTCCCCCTTTGAACTAATGCAAAATATCGATATTTGAAAATTGTTGTTTTTCTTATGTCTACAACCAAAATGCCAATTTATATGGGTCATCTAACGACAGGGTTTAGCAGTTGTCTAGTAATGCACGACCTTAATACTAGCATTAGCCTTATAAAGAACCTTCTGTTTCCAAGAAACTTTCTGTGGTATAAAAATACGACATAGGCCTATGCAAAATATAAAAATACGACATAGGCCTATGCAAAATTAATCTCATTTGAGAACAAATAGATATAAAAAATAGGTTTTCCATTATCCATAAATCTGTATTGCATGATTTAACCTTTAATTTACTAAAATAGCTTGAATTTTTCGTACTTACCAAATACGTAATTAAAGAAAACTGATTTACACTGCAAACTCTTTTTCGGATTTGACATTTCTATTACTCGTGTAGAAAGAACTTCCTTAGAAATTGCATACTATTTAAGATGCGCATGTCCATGACGTCAAAGTATCCGACATTGAGGAGACACTCGGAGCTCCTCGAGTGACACATACTAAACCCGACCGTGATCTGTGCTCTGCCATCTTTTACCATAATACGAAAATTCCTTCAACTGTAATACCTTTGAATTCGGACTTTCTTTGTGGCACAGCCAACGAAAGGTTTGTGCTTTTAAGTACTACAGACAGAAGGTTGTACTCATGATCAAATCAAATATAAAAGGAGGCAACAAATTTATGCGAAATACGAAACGGGATAAGATGAAGTTCCAGAGAAAATATATTAACTTGATACATGTACTTATTCCTCAACCAATAACACCCGAGTTTTTTGGAGCTTAGCAGTGTTAGCCGAGGATTACCGATTGATTTGGGGGTGTAGTACTGATCGTCACCATGATTTCGTATCATGCATTTTTCTTCTGCTCATAGGAAATATTTGTGATGATGTGTTGTGTGGTTACACAATTATCACGTTCATCAGTAGGTAAGTTCATTTCTTCATTTCTCTCATCCAGTTCCTGACTTTATGATTCTTTGAAACATACAGGCACATGTGTTATAACAGTGATTTTATTTCTACGAGATACTGTGTTAGGATAGATCATGCAGTCTTGCATGTTTTCAGTATTGCATTACAATCTTCATAAACTTTTGGATCATATATTTTTAATTTATTGAATGGTAGTAAAAAGAAAACTTACAATGTTTCTGGGACGCGAAACAGTTGAAAATATTGGGGAATAAAATATTATACTAATGGAAACACAGAATTTATCTTGGTAAGGAGTTTGATGTCAGCAAATTCCACAAACTTTGAAAGTTGGGCGTATTTCATACAAATATATTTAGGATTTTTCCTCGTTCAGACGGGCATGATAAGGAGTACACAGCGAGTGTGATTGATCGGCAGGGGATACTTACTCCCCACTGGCACCTCATCCTACTTGTGTTTTCACAGATCCGTGTTGGCTCTGCTTTTGCTTTGTGTTGTATGACTAGACTTGTAATAGAAAGTACCCTGATTAACGTTTTACTTTGTAGTATTTTTCAGGGCTTGAATGACCAGCAGAGTGAAAGGGATAGAACCACAGAGAAGACAGAAGGAAAGACTTTGATTATGTACACTTATAATTTAGTAATTATAATAATGTTTCATCATTGTTAAAATATAGATATTGACATGTCTTTGAAATATTTTTTAAACATTTAGTACAAATTTTATTGGTCTTGATGTAATTTCCTTTGATTTGTGCAATCCGTTGTAGTTTGTAATTTTTTAATGCATTAATTTACATTAAAAGTTTTGAAAATTATCTTGTGTTGACCAGTTTTCAATACTTACAAATACATTCTACATGTACACTTCTCTTTACTCTCTCTCTCTCTCTTTATTCCTTGTTTGGACCTCTTAATATTTAAAATTAGCAAATCCACGTTTCAAGTGAAATCACCTATAATTTTGATTTGTTAGACTGAACACTTCAAGAAACTTGAAATAAAACCACATTTATTTTCAATAATTTTTATCCTACAGAAAGGACACAAAGACTTAGTAGCAGTTTGCTTAAAAAAAACTACTGAGCACAGTCGATATAGCTGGAAGAATATCACATGAAACTTTCATCAAATACCTTTTCATCAGATATGGACCGAAAATGAAAATAAGATATTTAGCATTTTATGAATATCAATTTTTGGAAATTGATGTGAAAATTATCAAATTTGATGACTTTTAGAAGTTATATTAGACTTTCTATGGTCATTCTCTGCCCATTTTGGTAAACATTTAGATTTTATTAGAAGAAACGGTGAATTGAAAGATGCGGGAACTTAAGCCTCGACTATTATGTTTATTACTTACAGTGTATAATTAAGTTTTGCACTTATTACACAGTAATGTTTTGGTTTCACGTTTATAAATTACATAATGAAAGAGAGACAACGCTACTTTATTTAAAGATTTCCTTTAACATTGATGTGTACATGAACAACAAAGTATGTAGCAATAACATTTTGAATTAAAAATATCAAATTAATAATTGATTGCGAAAATGTTTTTGTATTTGACAAATATCTAATACATACGAGGGGGTATCAAAAAGTTCGTGGACTACTGCCATAACATTTAAACCGCTTTACGTACATCAGTGAATTTTAAAATATCTAGTTAACATCATCTGTTCTATCTATAGAATAAACCACAAATCATAAATTTTATTTTTTTAAAATAAATTAGTAATGTTTTTGTAAGCAATGGTATGTCAAGACGGCGCAACCTAAAAAAGGACGTTTTTTCGACCCATGTGTAACTGTGGAAAACTATTTTGATATGAACGTTTGACGTCCAAAAATCCCGTTAATTCAAGTATGTGTTGGGACACTATTGATCAACTAAATATGGATTTTTTACTTCATACTGGAAGTTCTATGAAATTTTATCGGAAATTTTACCTGGAGTAACCAAACAAATATTGCCTTGAAAATGACGTCAAAAAGGGGTAGGCGTTTCCTTTTCCAATATTCTATAAAGTTTTGTCCCGAGAGAAAAATGGTATAGGCCTAGGAAATTATTTAACTCGCTACGGAGAAAAAATATGCATTCAGAGTACTTGTTTTTTTAATATCAAAATAGATTCAGAGAGAAAAGGGATGCACAGTTAATGTCGGTTTGTAGTCAAGATGTGAAAAATCAATCACATCAAAAAATTACGTTGATCATGCATGTGTTGTAGATATTGAACTCAAAAAAGCAAAATATGCTGGTACAATCAAGCGAGAATCTCTCCCAATGTATAAATCCATTTAGAGTATTATATGCATTGAAAGCCGCTGTTCATGACATTGTAAAATCATATAAACAAGACGGGTTGAAGTCCTTACTTAGCTCCAGGGAAGCTCATCAATATAAGTGTATGGGGTAGAAGAAGCAGACATTGAAAAACAATGACGTTGTCAGACGTCATAAAACTAAACGACGGCGCCGGGTGATCATATAATGTCGTTTTTATTTCATAATAATTTGGGAAATAACTAGAGGTACACCCCCCGCCTCCCATATGAATAAAATGGTGTCCATGTTTTGCTCTGGAAAATCCAAAAAATATGTCAGATCAAAAAGTAAAATAGGAGGTGCACAATGGCAATATGTAATAAAGATTCTGTGAAAGTTTCATTAAATTTCCTTCAGTGGTATGAGAGGAGTTGCGGATAAGAGATGGGTACCCCAAAGCGTAACAGACGGACGGACGGACAGACGGACGGACGGACGGAATTAACGATTACTATATACCCTCCCGCTTTTCAAGCGGGGGGTATAATGAACATATCAAGCTAAAATTTTCAATATTTCTTTATTTTTTGTTGTTTTATGTTCCTTATAAATTTTGTAAGGTCAGACTATATAGTACTAATTTTACAATGGCTGTTCAATAAATAATGTCCTCGGTGCTGGGTCATTCTACGGATAGAGGTCCAAACGAACTTTCCAAAAGTCAGAATTCATATACCCTATTTTATTGAATTTTTCTGCGTTATTTACTAAATCTAACTTAGTGGAAACCATTTCAACATGCAGCAGCAATGTTTAAAATATTTTATTGCTTATTTTGAGACTTACACATACATACATGAAAAAAAAATGTCATTACCGCAACAGACGACTAAATCGTCATAAAATATTGTTACGGTATGAAACCAATTTTTTCATACTTTGAAGTAATAAATCTTAGTAATATCTTACCTTCATGATAATTTGAGTGAAATAATCGCACATTATTTTTCGTACTGTGGTGTTAAATTTACGTTTTTAAAAAATGCAAAAAAAAACCCATTGGTCAATAAACCACTTGAGGAGTGCATATGATAATTTTACTTCCATTTTTCTACGGTGTGAGATTTCACGGACTCATGCATGTTGATTAAACACTTTATTACATTTATTATCAGATTAACTGATAATTAATTGACCTATTTTCTCCTCGTTATGGTAATGACAATGCTTGCGGTAGTGACAGTGCGTTTCGGTAAATAGTTTCGAGTTGTTGCGATCGAATATTTTCATAACTTATTCTATAAATTTTTTGTATCTTATCCTTCAAAAAAACCCATTGTGGTATAAAGGAAGAATGAACTTTATTATCAATTTAACTACAAACAACACACTCAATTTTTTTTTTCAACCAGAAAGGCTACCAACAAAAAACAAACATTTCAAATTGTTCACCGTTGCAAAAATACGCACCAAATGATCACAGTTACATTTGCTGTAATAACTGGAGCAAGTATTCATAATCGGTTTTTGATAATTGGAAGTGCCTACTACCCACCGGAGAAGGCTCTTGTATTTTGCAAACAACTTTGTTATGTTCATACCAAAGGATATCTGGCAGAAGGGGCCAAAAATATCGGTTTTGACCGATCTTGTGCATGACTAACCTCGAAGTCTTCATCGTCCATATCCTGGACGATTCCAGGGTACGGCACGTCATCGTACAGAACGACATACCACTTTCCAATCCAGTCTGTATCAGCCGAAGAGGGATTGGATTCAGTGGGAAGATCTACATCCGGAGAACTCACACGATCTGATACCGAAGTGAAGGTAAAAGCTGAAGGGTGGAAACACTCGCACGACTTCGGCTTTACACAAAAGCAACTGAGTACCCTCACCCTAACTTGTGTCTCTCCTCTGAATAAACCTGTGAATGAGAATGAATGGAAGATAGTTTCTAAATAAATAGTCAATATTTTAATACAATGACTTGAATTCAATAAAACTACAAATATACTGATACCTGATGTAGCTTCATGGTCTGCGGAACAGAGTCCAGGTCTGATGGTATTATTCTATGGATCTCCTCAACATCTGCTTCACTAACTAAATAATATTGAATAGTCGAATCTTTTTGCGGCAATGCAGTCTTCATTGACTTTGCATTATTTATACTTCCACCTTTAGAGACAAAGGCGTTTGCTGCCCGCTTCACCGATCCACCAATACCATCTGCAGGGCCTTTCCCGTGGCCAGCTTCTAAGAAAGACCAGTTACCTACTTTGAAACCCCAGTCAAAGAGCAAAGTTGAAAGCAAATAAAAATTTGCCTTGCATCTATATTGGGTTGTGGGTCCATCGCTTACAAAATACACAGTGCTTATGTCTGGATATGTACTTCGCAGCAAGGACAGAATTGGTTTTAAGCATACATGTTAACCTATTGTGATGAAAAATAGGGAGATTCAGACCTCAAAAGCGGTAGCATTGCGCGCGTGTTGTTTAACGCTTGGATTAAAACACATGTAATATACATGTATATTATAAGCCTTAAATGAAATCAGGTCAACAGCAAAGAAGAAGACAGAAACACCTTATCTTTGACATAAATTGTACAAATTCAAATATTTTTCATGCTCATCATTTTGCTTGGATTGGCTGCTTTACTTAGCCTTTTGAAGAGTGATCTTTGCTGATATAGCCTAGAACTAGAAGCAATAATTCTGAATGTTCATTCAGTTTTTAAACAAAACAAATGATGACATGTTTTAATCTAGATCTAAAACAAGTTCCTATCTTTCGTTATATAAATTAGATTTCCCGCGATGATAGAAAGTAGAGATGTGCCACATGGCTTGGTCAATCGAGTGATTTCTATTGACAGCTTCTGTGCTTTTAAAGACGATGTCAAATGTTTTCATCTAATTCTTAAAAGCTGTATCTCCTTTTTCATGGCAGGGATGTTGATTAATTTATCGTAACCAATGTAATCACTGGTAGTTTTGTGTTGTTGTCGTTGTCAAATCCGTGCTTGAAATCTATGTACAAAAAAGCGTTAAGTGTATGATTCCGAGTCAAATCACGCGATATCTAGCGAGATTTTATGAGAGTGGCTTCAAAAATGGATACCCAAGCGAACCAAAAATACTTTAGACGCAGCTTTTGTAGAAAAGCGGTAGATTCTGAATTAAATCGGTAGGCGGGAGATGGAGTGAAAAAGCGGTAGACTCCCGCCTAAATCGGGAGAGTTAACATGTATGTTTTAAGTGGGCCCAGATAGCTGGGGGTCCATGCTTGTTAAAATCAGAAATGGTACAGAATCCCGTGCATGTGTCTTTGTAATAAAACACACCTGTATGTAGAGTGATCTGGTTTTGGTTTGCACCAAAATGCACACTTTGGATTTCTCTGTCATACTTGCACTGGTAGTTTTCTGAAAAGTCGATATGAATCATTACTTCGTTTTCTGTCACTTTGTCGCAAAGTTCTAAGTGCGATGTACGATGTTTAATATTGAAGAAATGGCGACAAATCTTCTGTAGATTTTCTTGGAATTCCTCAACAAGTGACATAGCACTCCCACTCTCATCTTCCCGCATTGTCAAGGATGTGACATACTTTATATCTCTTGACCTTTTCAACCCTTCGGCTGACCCATTTTTTCCATGTGACCTGTTTTCCAAGATCCCTGTCTGATATAATAACTTGTTTGTCTTCACACTGCGGACATTCTCTATACATACAAGTTTTGCTCCCGGTGTCACAACATATCTCTGCAGCATGGGAATTGAAATTTGTTGAGGAAATAAGACCAAGGCCTTTGAGTTTATCAACTTGATATTGCAGATTTTCGTGTTTTATACATAAACATGTTTGGCGATCCTTCTCTGTTGCTTTGAGCACCCAAAATGGTCGGAACCTACAGAACAACAAGTACGACAACTTCAAGTTTGGAAATTCAGACAGAAATTTATCATGGAGATTTCTCAAATCGTCATTCAAAAAACGCTTCTGTCTCTTTACTTTGTTCCGGGTTATTGAGTCTTTCTTTTTCTGGTGCTATCCTGCTGTTATCGTCGCGCTGAAGGAAAGATCTGTCTGATCTCTGTATTTCATCTATCCTTGATCTGTTTCTTTTGAATAAGCCCTTCCGCGTTTCCATATTCCCTTTGTGATCTAAATTTCTCTTCCTTGAGAATCCAAATGCTTTGGCTGCATACTTCTTTAGTCGGTATTTTCGTAATAACTTTGATGTCAGAACATTGACAAAAATGTCTTTACTCTTCCTTTCAGCAGCCAATCTGTACTTTTCTCTAATACCTTTGACCAGGCTGTGGTGAAAATGCAAAGTACGCTTTACTTCCTCCGACACATTTTGTCCTCTGATAAAAGTGTTCGTTTTAGTTCTTGGAGAATCCAAATTTTTGTTTTTCACTTTTTCTCTGTAGATTCTTTTTTTTATATCGGGCAACATCTTTTTCCTTCTGTGCAAGTCTGATTCGTAGTTTATCAATTTCTCTGTATGCTTTCGATCTATCTTTCCTGATTTTCTTTCTACCTCTAGATGTTCTTCCGTCCTGAGGAAGCTGTTCGCGTGACAGATCTTGACTTGGTGAATTCGGAGGTGTATTAGTTGAAAGGAGAATTTTAGTCTCCTTATCCTTTTTGTCCCCCGCTTGAAAAGTGGGGGATATTAATTTGGGTTTGTCCGTCCGTCCGTCCGTCTTTCTGTCTGTCTGTAACGCTTTCGTTTCCACACGATACCTCGAGAACCCTTTGAGCTTTTGCAATGAAATTTAGCATAGCAACTCCCTATGGACTAAAGAAGACCCCTATTGATTTTGAGGTCAAAAGGTCAAAGATCAAGGTCATAAATAAGCAAATTCTGTCTGTTAAAACACTTTTGTTTCCACACGATATCTGTAGAACCATTTGAGCTATTGCAATGAAATTTTATATAACAACTCCCTGTGGCCTAATGAAGACCCCTATTGATTTTGAGGTCAAAAGGTCAAAGTTCAAGGTCGTAAATTTACACATTCTGTCTGTGTGTAATACTATCATTTCCGGGCGATATTTCAAGAAGATTTTGAGCTTATGCAATGTAATTCTATACCAAAACTCCCTAGGACGTCTCTCGCCCCTCTCAAAGTGCCCCGCCCCGTTTGTTTTATTAGTATTTATAGTATTACATGTCGCTATTTTTAGCGCAGGGGCATGAGGAGAGTTATTGCGTATAAAACAGGTTCTCGGCGGACTTTACGTTCTTATTATATCTATTATAACTGTTTAATAAAGGCTAAATAAATCAAACACCATGGATTGTGTAAAATTTTGAGAATACCGAACATGAAAACATGAATATATACATGTATGTGACTTCAGTTCTGCATATACTTCACTGTGAGTAAAGCGACTCCGTGGTCTAGTGGATATGTCTCTCGCTTCTAATGTGAGAGGTCCCGGAATTGAATCTCGGTCGAACCTTTCTTTTTTTTTTTTTAAATACTTTTTTTTTAACTAAATGATAGTATTCAGCATGTGAAATGAAAAAATTTATGAGGTTATAAAATCATCATTACAGTGTGATAAATATTCCATATAAAAAAATCTTCTATACACATAGTAAAGAATAAGCAATCAAATCTTTATATGCATATTGACATACATGTATTTTATTTCCTTCAGTATACATGTATACATTTAATAATTCTACAAATTCAGTCAGGGGGAGCCGACTTTTTCCCTAGCGGGGGACACGAATTCTCTGAATTAGCTTGTTTCTTTTGTTTCGTTGATTTTTTCTCCATTGTTTTCTTACTGATCGCTGATCTCTCTCTGATATTCTACATTTTTCAGTTTGCCGACTTTTTTCCTATCTTGATACCTTTGCTTTTCTTTCTCCAAGTATTTTGTATGTTTTTCTGGATCCTGTTTCTGCTTTTCCCTCCATCTTTTTGATCTTTCTTTTGCAGTGAGTACCATAGTTCAGGGTTTTTTAAGCACTTGTTCATCAATAATAAAAGTTCCTTAGAATGTTCATATTTTTCATATGCATCAACGACTAATTTTGCCCAGTCAAAACGTAAGTTATCAGTGTATTGAAAGAGTAGAAGCTCCTTAAGCTTTTTTTTCAGAAATCACCACTAAATTTTCGATTGCAAAGATGTTTTTCTTATCAAGTTTACTTTTTTTCATTCCTAGAAATAAAAAAGTAACAGGTTTTAATAAAGGCATGGATATGAATCTAATAATTTTGTTTTGACAGCCAATGCTAATTCAAAATTGTAAGAAATTTGTTAGAAATTTACTTCAATCTGAACATTTAATTGCATTAAGAAGCAAGTGCTTTATAATGGTATACAACCCCCTCCCCCAGTTATTCCAAATTTATTTAGAAACAGTCATGGCTTGAGCAAAATTAATTTTTAAACAGGTAATTCATCAGCATTTGAAAACAATTGTTCAAAACACTGTGTATTAGATGTAGGTTAGTCTCGTCTACCTCCCAGGACTGGACCCACATATAGGAGTTATTTGTAACAACCTCTTACGCATAAAACACTATAATAGTGTTGCAAAATCCATGCACAAGACCATCTAAAGATGATTTGTCATTACCGTAACACTGATGTCATTACCGAAACGATTTGATTCAAGGGATTTGTTTCGGTAATGACACGTTTCGGTAATGACATTTTGAAATGTTAAACAGAATATAGAGGGCGCTACTTGCCAAAAGGGGTTAAATAATGTACAACACAATTCAAAACCAATCTATATTTCTTTCTAAACAATTGCATTTTTCCTAGGTGATCGTACTTTTATTGTAGCAAGCATTCGGTAATGACACTGAATAAACATACGCTTGAAAGTAAGACCATTTACAATGTAATATCTGCTTACTTACCCACAGGAGAGCGTTATCCCTCGTATTAAAGATGGCGGTTTCTGAAACTTTTAATCACGTGGCTTCTTCTTTTGGATTATCTTTCTTGTCTCTTATATTTTGCAGTTTTATCTCGCCGTTTCGGTAATGACAAGAATATCAGGGACACCGTTTTACAAACAATAAATTATTAAAAAAAAGAATTTAGTAACCCGTATCTTTTTAAGATCAACAATGAATATTTTATTATACCTTAGTAATCTCAACAGGTTAAATTTTGACAGAAAATTCAGTTTTCACACACGCATATTCAATATTACAAATTCGATTTTGTAGTCTGGGACATGGCATTTCAAAGCAAGTCCATGACTTTAATTTTTTTTAGGAGTAATATTGCTTTCAGGGGTGTCCTTACGGTGTGTATGCATATTTATTATCTCCTTTTACAATATTCCAGATTTATTTTTAAAATTTCATAAACCAGGTATTGCTCAACACATACTAAAATGACGGGACACCATTTGGGCCTCTATTCGTAGAATGACCCTGCTCGTAAAGAAGCAAAATACGCTTTTCAATGATTTAACTTGTTAATCTCTTTTAATTAAAACACATGTCCGTAACATTTTTTATCCAATTTCTGATTTTTTTTAGAACTCATTTTTGTGTAGGACCCTAAGTATACTGGAAAATGGCAGATCCAATGATTTTCTGGACTTGTTTCTTCCTTCTGAAAGGTGTTTTTTCAAGTTTGGAAATAGAAACAAGTCAAAAGGTCAAAGATCTAGTGAATATTGTTAATTTGAAAAAACATTAACTTTCTGTTTATCCCGAAAACCCCTTTACTCTTCAGGGGGTGCAGGTTTGGACGCTGTCATGAAGAAAATTAATGTAGTGGATTCCTGATTCTGGGTTCTTCCTCTAATGAACTAATGAATGCAAAAAAATTGCTTTCTAGACTCCTCCAGAAATTAAACTGTCTCCCTGAATACGAATTTGAACAACAATACCACTAATATTTAAGAAAATTGCAAATAAATCTGTTTTTGTGCTCTTGCAGTTCTTTGCTCTTGTCAGATCTTCGCTGTTTTTATCAAGTACATCTTATGGTAAATTTTGTTTTGAGGGTTTTAAGCAATAGATTCAAGTTCCATTATCTGTTTGAATACCAAACAAACGTGGATAACTACAATTACTGATATTTTAAAATGATTGTTAAGACATTCGTACACGCTGTCGTTTTCACTTATTTTTCAAAATATAGGGTGACATTTGAGCACTAAGCTTTTCTACCGTCAAACGTTCTTAAAAACAGTGTAAACTGCTCCCGAAATGATGTCTATCAAATTTGCCATGTGTCTTTATGTCAATCATACATCATCAAATATTATTTGTTGAAATTTGGCACACAAGTAGACTACACTAAGATACACAATTCTGTGTACCAGTTTTTGATTTCGATGAACGATGTTGCCGTGGTTACTAAAAATAGAAATTTCTGTGAAATTCTTTCAAAATGCTACTCCGTACTGAGTTTTATCCTGATTTCAGTATAACTTGGCACACAAGTAGACTACAATAAGATACATAATTCTGTATATCAGTTTTTGATTTCGATGAATGGTGTTGCCGTGGTTACTAAAGATAGACATTTCTGTGAAATTCTTTCAAAATGCTACTCCAAATACAATTTTAGTCTGATTATAATGTAAATGTGGCATGCAAGTAGACTGCACTAAGAACATAAAGAGACTTAATCAAGGATCATTATTCTATTTATATATCTATTATTTATTCTATTTATTGCTGTTGAAAAGTTTCAATTTCCAACTGCTTAAGTACTTTTCTCTTCCTTTGCTATAAGTACAAACCAGTAGAGCTTCAGTCTCGACAGAGACTTCTGGTTAATTCTTAAGTTGAGAACTTTTCTCTAAAATCACTCTATAGAAACACATGGGTGGATCGTACAGGGGAGGCATTTGATTCGTGGCACACCGCCACCCCACCCCCCAAATATGTATATCTGTAAACATAAAAAAATATTTAATACTAATCACTGAGAGGTTTTATTTAAATGTAAAACAATTACAATAAACAATATACTTCTTCGAGTAAGTTCTAACAATAAAAAAGACTTATCTGAGTATTTTAACAATAAAATTCACTTCTCTGAGTGTTGTAAAAAATGAAAATAAAAAATGTTAAAAAATATAAATTTGAAAAGAAAAAATATCTTATATACTCTCTCTCTGAGGTGAATGTATTGTACAACTTATGTAATGTAGGTATCATTCATACACATATTCAATAAAAAAACAAGCACAAAAATGGATAAAATAAAAAAATTATGGAAAACAAACCAAAGACTTCCTTCAAAATCAGTACAGTTTGCAGATTATGTACAAGAATTTTTATAAATGCAAATATTTAGCAAACCAAACTCTTGTAAAACAGGTTTTCTCTTACATATAAGACAACTGAAACTGTGTTTTGAATAAATGCAACAAAATTCACAATTTAACTCAAGAAGACATACCGAAAATCAATTATGAACACTATTTCCAAAAGATTTTTGTAGAATGTGGGCACCTCAATAAGTTCAATAACTTCCTTTTCTGACATGACTTCAAGATGCTCCTGGATGATTGTTAAAGCAATATGAAAATTAGTTGGACATACTCGGTATGTACACGGAATCACTACACCTCCTCCTTTCTCGAGCATAGGAGGCCAAGGTGGGAAACTTGGTGAAGGAACGCCAGTAACTATTGCAGAAATTTCGCCCCCAGCATCCATTACATATCTAAATGCACTGGCCAAACCTCTAGGGACATGTCCACAGGGTAGACCCTCTATATCTTTTAGTTTTAGGCCCCTCTTTTCATCTGTAACTGTTTCTTTGAGATCAGCAGGAACATTATCTGGAATCCATACCAAACAAGCATCAGGATTATGAATATTCGTATATTCCCTATCAACTCTAAGCGGTACTTGATTGGACTGTAATGGCTTTATTTTAAAGTCATGATATCCTTTAATCACGCAATTTCTTAGCAAAATTTCCCTCTTTGGCTGCTCTGATAATTGTCCTTGACTCTAAAAGTAAGAAAAAAATTAAAGTGTTACTTTCAAACATGCATGAAAGTTAACTCACGGACAGGGAATATACATATATATATAGAGAGAGAGAGAGAGCAAGAGCAAGGGAGAGAGAGAGAATATAATAATGATAGTTAAGTTATAGTTATTATAATTTAATATACAAAGCTCCTTACAAAACAAGTATATTTTGTCATCATAATCATTTAAACTTTAATTACCATGTTTAATTCATGACATTTGTGCAAATTTGACATATGAATATGACAGATTCCTGAGATATTGCATCTCTATTCCATGGATGGTCATCTGGAATGCATGCAATGTGTTCCCAACGCTGACATTTCTCACACTGTATCCAGAGTCCTGGTTCAGACTCATCAGCATGGCATACAAAACATACTTCAGATGCTAAGGAAGATGTTGAAGCAGATGACGGAATTGGGTTTGCAGTAGAGGAAGATTTCAGCAACCTCTTATTTGACTTTGAAGAACCCTTTGATGGTTTATTCACTTTCCTTTTGGATGGCAGGGTGTGAATGTTTTTAGCTTTCTCTTTGGATTTGAGAAATTTCTCCTTAGCTTTCCTCTCTCTCAATGCAATTTTTTTGGTTTTTTCCAATGACTTTAAGCCCATCTTCCTGATAGAGTCTGTTGATGTCAAATTGTCTGATAATTCATCTGCAAGTCTTTTTCTGTTTGTTTTCTTCAATTTTACAGTTGGTCTGCGTCTTTGATATGTTGGGAGATTTCATCCGGAATTGATACATGTACAGGCAAACCAGTATTTTCTACCGAATCGTCACTACCCAGTGCACAAACTGCTTGGGCAAGAATATCCAAGCCTGAATTTACTTCAGCATTCAGAATGGCTGGTTCTGTGCTACATGTTGTAGATTTAGATGGGATGGATGATGATGTGGATTGCGCTTCATAAGGAATCGGAGGAATTCCAATGGAAGATGATGAAGTTTCATCTAATTTTTCTTCATATGTAAGGGCAGGCTTAAGTCTACAGTCTGAAATCTTAAATCTGTCTATTGGAAACACACCAGAAGAAGCAAAACTTTTTTGCACTGTCAATGGTTTGTAGAAATCTAGAAATGCCACTTGCAAGTGTCTTGCAAAGGTTTGTTTGCGTACCATATCGTCAGGATGTTGTTTGGTATGGGCTCTTAGGTGTTTGTACCAGCTCTTTTTCAAGGGCCCATAAACTCCCACATCTAATGGCTGCATCAAGTGAGTTGCATTTCTCACTAATCTGTAGATCTCTATCCCAAGATCTTTGGCCATAGAAAAGGATTCCATGTCAACATGACTCCCTACGCTATCAATTAGTAAAACAATTGGTCTCTCTTTCACGGCATGATTATGAAGATGCTCTATAAATTTTCTGAAAGTTTCTGCATCCATCCAACCCTTCTCTGTAAATTCTGCATGAGCTTGTCTGTGTGAACCAGCCAATAAGTCATAGGAAGCTGGTTTGGGCTTAGAAAACACAAAAAATGGAGGTATTATTGTGCCCACAGCATTTGCACAGTACATCACAGTAACTCTCTCTTTGCTCTTCCCCCCTGATACATGTGGAACTGGAGCGGCATTTACCTTTTTGGCTGGACCTATCACCTGACCAGATTTGGATCCCATTGTAAATCCAGTTTCATCTGCATTATATACTCTCTCAGGTCTGTCCAGGAGATGATTGTCAGACATAAATATTTTATATTTATCAAACCAGTCATCAATCTCTTTCACAGTCACCTTGGCTCTAGAGATTTCCAGAGGTGTTTCAGTTCTTTTTTGAATTATGTGACTGTTTCGCCTTAAAAATCCATAATACCAATCCCAACTAGGCCTGTCGTCTTTAAATGGATTTTCCCTTTTGTCCTTTTTCATGATATTTTCAATGAAGTCTAGAAACTCTGTTGGACGTAACCCCATTCCTCTCTGTGCCATTTCAGACAAATAATTTGCAAATGCTTCCTCCTCGGCTTTTTTAAACACAGGCTTTGGACCTCTTTTACTGTCAACATCTACTTTTCCTGATGTTCTTCTTTGGAGAAAAGAAAAAGAGAGATTGTTTTCTAATGCTGCTCTTCTTATTGACAACTTATTTTGATTCACCTGATATAAAGCTTTCCTAACAGTCTTGTGTGGCGATTTATATTTCCTGGAAACTTTGGCTGCAAGTCTTTGTGCCGGACTTTTAGATGGGGTCCAGATTTCTTTGCGTTTCTTAGTTCTTCCCATTTCTATATCAAAACAATCATCAAATATATTTACATACTGTTTAATTTGCAACAACAGTGAATGGGGTTGGCTAAGGGTGGTTATACTTATTAAAAATTTTTAACAAGCCCCCCCCCCCCCGTTTCCACATCAAAACATTTTTTTTAAAAATAGTTCAAGACAAACCATCACCTCGCCCCTAGATCAAATTCTGCATAAAGTGCACCCATGTCATACAGTGCATGTGTGTATAGTGTACGTATATACATTATGTACATAGGTGTCTTTGATATATGTAAATGAAATACTTTTTTTTAAATAAAAGGTGTGTAGACTATAATGATATTATTCACTTTATTCCCTTGGCATATGAAACTACAAACTAGGGTGCATCAGCCTGTGTTTGTGTGTGATGAGTAATTTTGAGTGCACGTTTATTTACACTTGCGTGATTCGAAATACCTTAAACTGTACGGGGTTGCAAATGTGGTTATAACTTTTGTAACTTTGAAGTGTTTTCAAAAATATATAATGCTCTTAAAAGCTTATAAAATTGCCGTTCTTTCAGTACTAAATATGACAGGTATCAACCAAAAACGCCGCTATTACAGCGATTGGAAATGTCAAACTACGTTTTCTACAAGGGTATTTCTTCGACAAGGATGTAGCGAGTTCATTAATTAAGTTGTTAATTAACTAATTAATGCATGGTATTTATGATTTTATTTCTTGGAATTAATTATATGTACCTTGTTGATGCTGACTGCGTTGTTGTCACACGTGTGAAGATGTGGTATAAAGTACAGCGATAAGGTAAAGTCCCGAGGGTTGCGAAACCCGCAGTGATTCGGAATACCCTAAATGACTGTATCATTAAGTTAAACGCTGACTGACGTTTTTCATGCTAATTGTTAGACCATTATTTACACACTAAATCGTCGACGTATTTTTCTGTATTTCCCGATCATGACAAGGAGCACACAGCGGGTGTGACCGGTCGGCAGGGGATGCTCACTCCTCCATGGTACCTGGTCCCACCTCTGATGTTTTAGATGTCCGTATTTGCTGTGCTCTTGGTTTGTATTTTAGTGGACTTTTCAGCTCGAAAACTGTGCGTTATCTCCATATTTTTTTTCATATAGCTAGACTTATTACCGGTAAACGATCGTTATAGTAACCTCAAAAACGAAAGGAAAATTGGCATTTTATTTTTACGAAGACATACTTTATGGATATTCTATGGATGTTAAAGGCAAAATTACAAACAATTTGTTACACCGTTTGCAAATGAGTTCAATGTAGTCGTGCCATAAGAATAGGGTATACAGCACCACATAACTGGAATCACTCTCACTTCTTAGGGAAGAGAGATTATTTTGCAGTTGAACAAGTAGTTGTACTAAATACAGGTAATGGACAAGCTTAGGAGGTCCAAGCAGATCGGATTTTCAGGTAACGTTGGAACATATAATTTGCGTTTTGCTTATTGTGACTTTTATAAAGGTTCGCTCAAAGCCCTGTTTTATAAACTTATTTAGAAGTAGCAACTCTAGATTTTTAAAATGGTTGCATTTAGAAAATGGGCGTACCAAACTAGAACCATAACCATCATAAACAGTACCTGAATTTGATAAATAGACTAAATCTAGTAATTGGTGTAAATCGCATGAAAGCGATCGCTGAAATCAGGATAAAAATCATTTGACGTCATTTAAAAATCTTTTAAATACGCTGCTCAAGAAAAGAAAACAACCTACAAAAGTTTTCATACAAATAATTGACCCAAATCAAGATTTCGCCCTATGGGCATAGTTGGAGTTCAAAAAAGATTTATTATAGAAATTTTACATTGAAAAATATAGAAATGGATTTTTTTTTTTTGAAAATGAAGACTTCGGATAGCATAGTTAAATTTGGCTTAAATGGCCCAATGATTGAACCATCGAACAATCACACACATTTAGGACTAAATTTTCAGTGTGATGCCAACTGAAAATCTCACATACAAATTACTTATGAAAAATGAAAAGGAATCATCTTTATTGAAAGAAGTTCAATCTACTGCTGCAAGAATTATTACAGGAATGAGAGTGAACTTATCAAGAACACTTTTATATGATTAATTGGGGTGGAATATATTATCTGACAGAAGGAAAGTGCATAAATTAATATTATTTTACAAAATCGTTTATGGAATAGCGCCACAATACCTTCAAGATCTATTAAGACCTTGTATTCCACCCCAAACCCCATATTCATTAAGAAACAATAATGGTCTTACTTTTCTTATTCCTCAAACGAGGACCTCATCACATATGAATAGTTATTTCCCATCTACAATTAAACTATGGAATAATTTACCATACCATATTAGAAATTTACCAACACTATCTTCTTTCACTAATGCCATTAAAAAGACTCATTATAGAACACACAATTAGCTTTTTAATCATGGAAATCGTAGTCAAAATATTATTTATTGTCAACTAAGAAATACTGCTAATAGTTTAAATGGTGATTTACAGAAAGATTATATTTGTGATAGTTCAAAATGTGAAAACTGTGGTTTTCATACAGAAAATGCATATCATTTTTTCTTTGGATGCCCATGTTATGTTGAGCAAAGAGATACTCTTTTAAATTGTATATCTAGTATAGACCTGTAACATCCTGTATCCCTAAATCTTTTATTTTTTGGTGATAGTAATATTTCTTATGCAAAAAAATATGAAATTATTTGATTGTGTTCATAAATATATATCACAAACCAAAAGGTTTCATAAATGAATTGAAACTATGAAATATTTATTCCAGTTCTTGCCTAAATCAAATACACATTCATTGTATGTTTATAAATTGCTGTAATTCTTATTTTTCGATTCTTTCCTCTCATTTCCACATAAACCGGTATTCATTTGTTTCTTTCTTTTTCTCTCTTCACTCTTATGTATTTTTTCTTCTTTTTTTTACTTTCTCCTAAAATCCATTCAAATTTGTATTAGTTATTTATAACTTATTGGTGATATATGAACCTGTTACTATATGTGTATTAATTAACCTTGTACCTGTGGAGAGGGCTTATATAGGCTATGCCTGCTGCCCAATCCGTTTCTGTTATTGTTACATAATAAAATAAAATTATGTTCAAATCAGATAGCATAGCCAAAGTTATAAGTACTGAGTATTGTGATTTAGCTTAATGAAAATCATATTCATTAGAGCCAAGTTTGGTTATAAAAGGATGTTGAAGGGTATAATGAGATTATAAAAGAACAACCATTTAATCGTATTAATTTCACCATAAAGTTCAAAATTTGGTCTCTTAAGCTAAGATTGGGGCATAGATAGTTTGATAAAAGTGTAGGTACAGTGTATTACATTAATAGGGCAAATCATTTGAAAAATCTTCGAAGAATTCACCATTTAGTGAAAATAATATGCCGATATCCCCTCGGGATCCTCATGTGATGTAAATTTAGTTTTTTTAATACCCTCTCATTGTTACAGTGGTAAAATAGTAGAGGACAGAGGTACATACAGTACATGGCCATAAGTGAGTCAAAATTTTATTTTTCCACTATATATTTCAATGAAAAATGCTTTTTCCTAAAATACTATTGCAGTGTCATTTGTTGCTCAATTTCTTTGAATAAAACACCATAAAATTCAGAAATCTTTGCAGTTTCTTTACATTATTTCCAAATAATTTATCTTTAGGCATAACACCACTATTAGGAGGAATGTTTATGACGTACAATGTAATATGTATTACGAAAGCATTCGTGGAAATATTTACAAAATGAAGGTGCCGAAATGAACATATCTGTTATGAATTTGCCCCATTAGTTGAAGGGTATCAAAACTGATAAAATATATAATAATATTTTCGAGTCAACTTTGTGTATGCCTGCCTAGTTGAAATATAATCTTGCTCGAAAGAAGGTATGTTTTTACATTTTAGGTTTTGTGTGTCATTTTCATTGCAAATCTTAAATTGTGTTATTTGTTAAGTTTTGTTTTCTTTTTAATTTTTTTTCATTGCATTTACAGGATTTTAAAATACAAAAGAGTTTATTTATCGTCATTTAAAGAATTACACACGCATCTTTCGATTACTGCCTACATTTTATCCCATAATTCAATATAAATGACATTTTGGCCATTTAAACTTTTTTGAATGCAAAGAACAATCCATAAGTAATTGATTTATAATTTTAAACCAGTGTAAAAAAGTATAATTTTATTTAATACAACTTTTTTTCATTTGGCGGGTAGAAAATTGTATCCATTGACATCAAGCTTTTTAAACATCATAGAAAATTTTCAAATAGAAGTATGCACGGGAATAGGTAAATGATCCTTTAATCTTTCCGTTTGCCAAAATAATGCAATATTAGAAGTATCAGATTGATGAAGTACAATCTCATTTAGATACGCAGAGCATGCTGTTGGTATGAAAAATTTCTAAAACGGGGTAAATTATTGACAAAGGAGTTGACGAAGCAAGAATATCAGCAATCACGTTAAGAGTCATCAATTCGTTAGTTTTATGGTCGATATAACGGCCTTGCCAACAAATACAATATATCATTAAGTTAAACGCTGACTGACGTTTTTCATGCTAATTGTTAGACCATTATTTACACACTAAATCGTCGACGTATTTTTCTGTATTTCCCGATCATGACAAGGAGCACACAGCGGGTGTGACCGGTCGGCAGGGGATGCTCACTCCTCCATGGTACCTGGTCCCACCTCTGATGTTTTAGATGTCCGTATTTGCTGTGCTCTTGGTTTGTATTTTAGTGGACTTTTCAGCTCGAAAACTGTGCGTTATCTCCATATTTTTTTTCATATAGCTAGACTTATTACCGGTAAACGATCGTTATAGTAACCTCAAAAACGAAAGGAAAATTGGCATTTTATTTTTACGAAGACATACTTTATGGATATTCTATGAATGTTAAAGGCAAAATTACAAACAATTTGTTACACCGTTTGCAAATGAGTTCAATGTAGTC